TCTACTTTTGATGTATGCTTTTTAAGGTCCTTTTTGTTAGCTGCAATTTGATTGGTTCATTTTGCATGTACATGGCAACCCCTTTTTCATAGCAACTTCGCGGTCTGCATTCGCAGCTCTGGCTGTAAACATAGCGTCGAAAATCTTTGTTATTTCTGATTATTTAGACGAAAATTACTGTTCTTTGTTGAATATTAGTATCGTTCTGTTATTTTGTTTGTGATTATCGATAAAAATGTTGGAAATAATCGAAATAGAAAGAGAAAAAAGGCAAGAAATTCACCGTCAAAGAAGGCCACAAAATTCAAGATGGCGGCGAACCATGTTGATCAAAACCCTAGGCTATCTAAGATGAAAATAGACGATGTAAGTGTAAAGTTTGGCTACAATTCTGGTCATACTGACTATGTTAAAGCAGGTACTATATTTATGGACTTGTTAGTTCTGTTTGGCGTTTTTAATCAAGTCCTGAAATCATTGCCTTGAGTGTGGGAACAACATGACTTCCCATGTTGACTTGAAAAAGAAGAATAGCTTCTCCCATTACATTGTCATGCAATGTTATAACATGGAGTGTGAATGAAAATACTGCTTCCATACTTCACAAAAACAAGGGGCCATCATATGAAGTTAATATGGGAGCAGTCCTTGGCCTCCTGGCATTCAGAGAAATTGGTCGAGGCCATAATACTATGGTAACATTCACCAAAGTATGCCAAAGTCATGAACATGCCATCACGGGATCACCATAATCCAGCTGGAACTTTACAAAAATGCTAAACAAGCTGCTGCCTGTTGTGAAACAGTTGGCAAATGACAGCATGCTAAACAATGTCATGATTGTTAAAGAGACTTGTGGAAATGACAAAGGCGAATGTGGAATTTCCCTTGATGGAACTTGGCTTTGACAAGACCATGTGTCGCAAAATGGTGTTGTTTCCGCCATCATTAGATACCAAGAAATGCCTCAATGAACATGAAATACTGTCAGATAAATGTCAGAAATGGCAAAAGAAAGAAAACAACCCAAAATACCAAGAGTGGAAAGCTAGTTGCCACTGTAAGATCAACCGGCCATGCTGGACATGCCAATAGTATATGATGAATCACAAATTACATTCTCACCAAAAGAAAGCAGAGAAACAATTAAAGGTAGATGAAAAACAATAGGGCATCTGAGAAAAAAGTATATAGATGAGGCTGAAGAGAAAGTAGGTGTTGTGTATGAAGTAGGGGGCTTCTGAAGCTTTATAAGGTACATTAACTGTAAATGAAATTTTTAAAGTGGATTTTCTCTTTTTGGCAATTTGACATGTGTCAGCAATACCTTGAAACATGTAATTTTCTAGGTTTTTATTATAGAAGCTTGATACTTTGCACATCTATAGTCTGTACCATTGTTCATCATGTGACACTCTTCAAATTGCAACATTGTTCATTATTGATGAATTATTAACAAATTACATCATAAATATTTCAATTAAAAGTACCAATAATGCAAAATTCCATTTTTGGCTCTAAAATTTTTTATTAATGAATTCTGGAAAAAAATGAAGAGTGTCACATAATAGATGAGGTTCTAAGCTTTTAAAAAATATATCACTCATTAAATTTGGGTAATTGGTTAATGAGATATGAAGTTTTGCGACGCTAGGCAATTATGGCCTAATTAAGAGCCGCCATATTGGATAATTAGTGTAATTAGTGACTTTGTTAATTTTTTTTTTCATAGTTCATTTTACTTAACCTAACCCTTTCAGAAAATGATATTTTCACTTTATTATAAGCAGGGACCAAAAGTGACATACAAGGGTATCCAAAATCATCTACAAACAAAATATGGAATAAAGATCTCATATGGGACTGTCGTTCAGCTTTCAGTCATAAGAAATAAAAGGCGTTTATCGGCAAAGAGATATCGTGGTGTCGCACGTATCACCTGTAGAAGAGCAAGAAAAGGATTTGCCATAAAAATGAATCCCTGATGCTCACTGGAATACCGCTGTGTACAGGAGTTTGGATTATCTTCAAATAAAGAATGGCACAGAGCAACTGGTTTTAAATCGAGACGATGCTGCAGGGTTTAGATTAGATACAACTTTTACGCATAAGCAGCACAAGGGCGTTCAGCTGTTGGACAGCCATGATCTAACCTCTAGAACTGACTACATGAACAAGTATACTTCCGTTTTGCAAACGTCATCGTATCTTTTTCCGTCAACGTCGTCAACTCCTCCAACGTGTATTGGTGTAGTTAAGCCTCATGTAATTTTTGAGAAGAATCCAAGTCAACATATGGCAGATCTTAACATGCTGGAAAAACAAGAACAGAACACAGCAGTGTTTAACCGATTGTCTGACGGTCAACGAAAAGATATATGGTACGTTCGCGTTGATGGAAGCAGTGATGAAGGCCCTGTACACAAAGAAGTACAATTCCTGTGGACGGAAAAACATATCATGGACAATCACTCATGCACTGTGGTGACAACAAGGCATTCGGGTGGATCCTATCTCAACTCTGTGGAACTAATGAATGGTTGCCTCTCTGTGGCACACAGCAATTGCTTTATACCGTCAACACTTGGTGGACCAGTTGAAGATGAAAATGGGATAAATACCGAACAACTCAAACGTAATCTAGATTTGGCA